TATGAGTTGGGGCCAACTCAACAGCATACCACCACCACTGATGCAAGAACAAGGAGTGACATTTTTAACAAATCATTTACTCCAGAATCATTTATTGAGACTATTCCTGTGGCACTGTGAATTAGCACTGAACTGTGAACCACAAAGTCAGCAGTTCAAACCCACCAACTGCTCCTTGGAAACCCATACAGGGTCACTAAGAGTCAGAACCAACTCAATGGCGCTTAACAAAAACAATATAAAGAACTAAGGAATCCTCGTGGCACAGTGGGTTAAGTGTTGGGCTGCTAACCTCAAAGTTGACTGTTCAAATCCTCCAACAGCTCTGCGGGAGAAAGATGATGCTGTCTGCTCCCGTAAAGATTGACAATCTCAGAAACCCGAAGGAACAGTTCTACTCAATCTTACAGGGTCTCAATGAGTCAGAATTGACTTGATAGCGATGGATGGTATGTATGTTGCCAACCTTGCTGTTCAAGTGTTGATTCTACAGCGCCACACCAGGATTCCCTCGTATGTATTGTTGTTGTTGTTCTGTGCCATGGAGTAGGTTCCAACTCATAGCGACCCTGTACAGGGTTTCTGAGGCTATAAATCTTTAAGGGAGCAGAAAGCCTCATCTTTCTCCCATGTAATAGCTTCTTGTTTTGAACTGTTGACTGTGAGATTAGCAGCCCGATTTGTAATCACTACACTACCAGAGGTCCTGGTATGTGTAGAACTACACTAATCATTGAGAATATGACAGTATAAGAAATGAGAGGTTTTTATTATATATATAAAGTCACTTTTAAATCTTGCCACTTGTAAGGCAGTTTAAATATACAAAAAAAATTTAGAACATGTTACAGAATTTTATCATGTATGTATAGGTAAGGAGTCCTGTTGTGGCAATGTAGGATAAGCACGGAACTGTTCACAGGAAGGTCAGTGGTTCAAACCCACCAGTCACTCTTCGGAAACCATATACAGGGGTCACTGTGTCAGAACTGACTCAGTGACACTTCACAACAACCATGATAATGTAAGCAATACTGCCTCTGGTTAAATAGGAACTATTGAAAAAATATACTCCTCTACTTTTTACATCAAAGAAAACTTATCATTATTCTTTAGCCAGTTTTATACAAATCTCTATGATATATATATAAATTTCCTGGGTACAAGCTTCTTTTATTATAATGTGGGACATGGCAAAGAGGAATTTGTTCACATTCTCCAAGTACCTAAAGTTAGTTGCTTAAAAAAAAAAAAAAAAGAAAGAAAAATGAGAGTAGTAAAGGGGACATTTCTGAAGTGAATTCACAAGAAATGATTTATTGGCCAGTAAAATAAAGAAAAAGGAACTCAAATCCATTATAATTATCAATTTAAATAGCAAGTCCCTCAGTCTGGTTGTCTTTAGAATTCCAGTTCAACTTCTTACGAGCTGTATGGGACCTACCATGAGTTAGTACTATATTATTAGTTTCTTCATCTATTAAATGAGGACAATAGGAGTATCTATTTCATAGAGATTGACAGTTAAATTTTATAAAGCACTCTGTAGAGTCGCTGGGTCATGCTAGGCTCTCAAAAAACCTAGCTGCTATTATTATTATGTGCCGTAGAGTCGGTTCTGACTCATAGTGACCCTGTACAGGATTTCCGAGGCTGTAAATCTTTACGGGAGTAGAAAGCCTCATCTTTCTCCCACAGAACAGCTGGTAGTTTCCAACTGCTGACTTTGTGATTCACAGCCCGATTCGTAACCACTATGCTACCAGAGCTCCTTGTTATTATTATTATTATTATTATTATTAGCAGTTAATAAATTACTTGTGTATGTGTTGTCTCTGTGACCAATACGTAAAATAACCTTGTTGTTTCTAGGTGTCATTATGTCAGCCCTGACTCATAATGACCCCATGAACAACAGAACAAAACTCTGCCTGGTCCTGCAGAAATTCTTAACTGTGCAAGAAGCCTCATCTTTCTCCTACAGAGCTTCTAGTGGGTTTGAACTGCCTACCTTGCAGTTAGCAGTCTAGTGTTTATCCTACAGCACTATCAGAGTTCCTTTGTTGAGAAAATTTGTTGTTTTTATAAGTGTCATCAAATCGGTTCCGACTCTTAGTGACCTTGTATAGGGTTTCCAAGTCTTTTAAATCACAACAGGAGCAGAAAGCCTCATCTTTCTCCCAAGATGGCTAGTGGCCCTCCATAAGGATTGTAAATTTCAGGGGGACTTCTGAAGATAGTGGCAACTTCCATTATGAAAATCCAATGGTTGGTAGAATTTATATTCAGTTAGTAATTACAATAACTACCATTTTGTAGCAGCTGTTTTATGATGTACACTAGACTAGGTTTTTCACATTAACCATCTTTAAATTCACAAAGTAATTCAGAAAGTTCATTGCCATTATAAGTAATGTTCTTAAAGGTGCAAAATACGTGTAGCTAAATGGCATTTCAGGCAGTTGCAATAATGTGCATTGCAATATGGCGCTGTAGGATAAACACTGGAACACAGGTCAGTTTGGACCTCTAGCTAGGTTGGCTGTTCAAACTCAACAGCCACCCCTCGGAAACCTTTTATAGCGTTGCTTTGAGTCTGAATCAACTTGCCATCACTAAACAACAACAACAAGGTAAAATCCAGAGTGCTGTAGGTGCATATAGTCATAAACCTGAATTTAGAGAAGCCCTTGTCTGAGAGGTAGTAACACCTGTGTTGGACAGGAAGGTTGAGCAGCTAGTCAGTTACTAAGGAGAGAATGTCCTTAGAGATGGCGTTCAAAGATGTGAAAGTCCAACATCACTGGAGCAAAAACTGAAACAAATGAAGTGTTGAGAGATGAGAATGGGACGGGGTAACCCAACATCCATTTATATTCTATTTAATCCATTAAAATATATATCTTTATTAGATATATTTCATAATAAAGATACTAATATGATTAAGAAAATGATTAGCATTTCAGGATCTATATATCCAGAAAACCAGAAGAAAAAAGTCTGTCTAGTTTGTGCTTTAGAATATTTGAAATAGCCATCTAGTGGTCACTTTCTCTCGTAATGAGATACCTGTTGAGATGCACTCTGGATCTAAATTCTTGAAAGGCCAGTGCAACCAAGCTACATTCAAGCCTATTGCTAACCCAATGATCATTTAAAATAATTTCAAAGGAACTATAGCTCCCTGCGTTTTCTATTTTATCACAGCTATTAGATTTTTCTGGGAGCACGATGGCTTTGTAGGATAAGTAGACTGCGAACCAGAAACTCAGTGGTTTAAGCCCACCAGTTGCTTCATGTGGGAAAGTAGCGACTTTCTGCTACTGCAAAGATTTCTAGCCTTGGAAACCCTCTACAGGATCAATATGAGTCAGTACCGAATCAACAGCACTAAACAACAGCATCAGATTTTCACTGATAATTTAAATGATTAGGCATCATTTTGTGCCTGTGTTCTTCCATTTATATTAGCCTAATGACATTGATTAAGATTTGAAAATTATGAAATAACTGTGATTTTTATTTTCTCTATAAAATGTTTCATTGTACAACAGCATAATAAACTATATTTAGTCCATATCTGAGACAGGAAAATTTAGCAACAATGAATTAATTACTCTTCTGCAAGGTAGAATGCCACTGTGGCCTAACAGATTTGGTAAAATTGTAATTTGCTTTATTCATTTTCCTGCGATCGGCTCTATTACTTGGTAATTATTTCCTGATTGAAGATTTCACCTGGGATAGGCTGTTTGTACAGGCAAGAATTGAAACCCTACTTTGAGTCATGAAACTGAGATCATTTGTAAACATGACAGGATCTTTTAGCATCACTTTGGAAAGACTTTATATCCTACTGCACCATTTTCATAATAATATATTCCTTAGTGGAATGTATCTTGGCTAAACCAGTTATCATTTTTATGTCCTAATGGCCATGAAAAACTATTTTATAAATATTAGCTGATGGTGCTATAAATGTAATTAAAACTTAAGCAGTTGGAGTCTATAGTCATAAGTAATTTCTTCATTAACAGCATTTAGAATATGATCAGGAAAAGGAAGAGCTATTAGTTACCTTTGTATTTGACTTAGAAAGCAGTTTTTTTGTGTCTATACCATTCACATAGGTAATATATCTTTAATGGTTATGAATCTATAGAAGTACATGATCAGGATAAAAATGCTTTGTGAAATTTTGGTAGTCATATTTTGTATCTATCATAGTGTGTTATAAGTAATTTATTTTCATGGAATTGGATTATCATATGTAAATTTAGTCCTTAGTACAAGAAGGCATATGTTAGGTTGGGTGGGAGTTGCGGGGTTTAAGAGAATTCACAAGTATGGAGGTTCAAAGTAGAGCAGCTAAATCCTTTCAGCCTGAAATACATTTTAATGATGAATCATTCCAAATACTAGTTTTTTAAAGAATCTTCTCTTTTGTTTGAATTGATTGAAAAAATGTTCTTTTCCAGAAAATAATTTTTCTAAACTGTATTCATTTTTTGTCTAAAAGGAACAACTGGAGCTATTTACACTGTAAACAAAATATATACTTAACTTCTTACAGATTATACTTTAAAAGATTTTAAAAGACAACTTGGGAGGGTTTGCCTGGAAAGATAGCTGTTACTTGAAGTAGCTGCTGTTAATACTTTATTTTTGAAATCTTATGAACTCTGACTTCCAAAGCAGTTCATACTGAAACTTGTTGTGCAATCACAAATGCATTATTATTGTTTCTGTTCATATGTTAGTAGTGTCCTGGGTTCCTAAAATAACAGTAAGAAATAGATTGCATATAAAGTGAAATGTGAAGACATATAACTCCTTCATTGTACTAGAAAACCATGTTTTTTTCATGCCTGAAAATTTGGAAATAACCTCTCATTTACTTATTATGAAGACTCAGGAGATGTTATTTGTAAGACACACGTTATATAAAACTTGCTATTTTACCAATCCCCACTCCCTTATCTCTTCTCTTTTTTCCACAGGTGATTTCTATTCACTACTTTCCAAGCTGCTAGGAGAAAGGGAAGATGTTGTTCATGTTCATAAATATAATCCTACAGAAAAGATAGAATCAGAGTCAGAACTGGTAGCAGAGATTGCAAATGTAGTCCAAAAGAAGGATCTTGGTAGGTCTGGTGCCAGAGAGGGTACAGAGCATGAGGAGAGGGGCAATGCTATTCTTGTCAGAGACAGAATCCACAAATTCCACAGACTAGAATCTACTTTGAGTCCAGCAGAGAGCAGAGTTTGCTCAGTACAGCAACCTCTACCTGGTGAAGGCACCTGGGAACCAGAACACACAGGAGGTGCGTTTAGGGCTTCTTTTACAGGATAAAATGCTGAGGGCAACAATCCACATTAGCAAAATCTGAAGGGAATAAAACTTAATAGATGAAAACAACTCATCAATAAAAAGGAGATAGGAAAAAACACTACTTAGATTTGGGTTGTTTGTCAATTGTCACCTTTCTTTTATGAGTTTTTTTTTTCCTTATTATTTTGTTCTAATACTACACAAATTTAGTTTCTGATCTATGCATGAACCAGAACTACAAGGACCAAATGTATTTGGATCCTTTCTGGGAGAGGGGAATTAAATTCAAGGTAAAAATTCTTAGCAAGTCAACAATGGAAAGAAAATAAAAATTCAAAGCTTGATATATAAAGCCCTAGTGTATAAAATATTTATACACTGCCTTAGTTTCAGGTAATTAAATTCCTCTCAAAGGAATCATATACTTTCAATATTGTCATCCAATTGACTTTAAAACATAAACATTTTTATGACTTTGATTTCTTAACTTCCATTGTCAGTTACTGTCTTTATTGGAAAGTTGAGTAGTTATTTCTGATGGGACCATCAGTTCAATAACTATCAGATTTACCATTATTTCTTACCAGGATTGGCTTCTGTAATTCGAGGACAATACTTTATTCCCTTCAGGTTTTAGTGCCATCAAGCTGTGGATGCTACATCTTTGTCTTCAGTTGTGTTATGGCCCTTGTGATATTGATTGTGTTTCCTGTTACTTGCTAATGTGGAAAACCAGATAATACAGCATGTGGAAATAATCTCACAAAAAGTAACAGATATGCGTGCATGGCAGCTGTCCATGCGTGGGCTGGAATGGCACAGACTGCCAGCTTGATGTTTTCAAATACAGTTTTGCAGGAACCATAAATTATTCAACACCCAGCTGATTTTTATTTATAATTGAAAAAAAAATTAGCATGCAGTGTTTTTTGCTCACATAGAAGGTTCAAGCATGGTCCATTGGGAATGGCCTAATGGTCTCTATCAGAAGTTAAGAAAAATCTAGATGTTTACCACTTCATATTTGAACAGGATCAGCCCTGCTCTTACTTAAATTGATCTAATAAGACAACCTTTCTCAAGGGTGATCACTAGAACCTTTTGTATCAGAATCACCTAAGGTGCTTATGAAAGACCTACATTCCCTAAACCGTCTCTACAACACCTGAATTGGCATCTCTGGGTAAGGTGCCTAGAAATCTGCAGTTTTCCATGCCCTCTGTCCATTGTATAAACACACTGAAGTGACTACCTGAACCTCCCTATTAGTGACAATGAAATATAAAAGATAAAGAGGGTCTCTTTGAGAACAGAATTCTGTCTTGAAGAATAGTTGTGAAACTTTTAACAGTTGTCGCATACTTTATCGTTATGACTTGTCTTCATTATTCTTGGATGGAAAAATGTACAATGGTCATTTATATATATTGCAAGTGTCAATGTAAAATTCATAGTTTGACTTCAGGCACTGTATTCCTTGACAACCTACTTAATTTTTCAAAGAAAGAAATGCTTAAAATACCTGGAATATATTTGCCTGCCAAATCTCCTCCTACTTTCAGAGTAGTTAAAATGGCAGTGCTCAAGACAAAGATGTTTCTCCACAATCTGTTTCAAGATGTTTTCTTTCATTTTTGAATATATGAATGAATGTCACTGAAGTGAATAACAGAGTGAGTCATAGAAACATATTATAGAAAGGAAATGTGCATGTGTTTTCTCTCTAAAATGATTTATTTTTAATGTTATTTCACAACTGACTGAAAAACCATTTGCAAATTAAATGTAAAAGGACAAAACTCATTTTTAGGTAAGCTAGTTCTGAAACGCTTTTTGCTTCTTCATGAGCTTTCACTGTTTACCATATAAGATATCTAGTTGTATCGTACCTTTGTGTAAGCCAGGGAAAGACTTACCTTCAAGATTTCATTTTTCAAGTAAAGAAAATATAATTGCATAGCATATAATAAAATACATTAGTAGTCTAAGTCATGTATATTGTTCAGGGAATGGATAGGGGGAATGCTTCTCTCTAGGCCTAGCTGATAATGGGGCTCTAATCATCTACAGAATTAACTATCTCCATAAGAGCCCACTTTGCTACTAGGAATTTTTTTGCTACTAGGTCTGGATTTTTTTTTTTTTTTTTTCCTCTCTGTACTTTGTAACTTTTATGTAAGCTTAAAGTCATTTCAAGTGAAGGTAAAAACAAGTTTAAAATGGCAGACTCTGCTATTGATGGCCTGGGTGGGGGCCAAGGTTCTGCACCCCTCTCCCCAAGCTCACGGTCACCCGGGCACACCTCCTGGGCCTCACCAGCACCCACCTAGGGCTCACTCCTACCCCAGGCCCCAAAGCAGTGTGGCAGTAGGTACTCCGGGACTGATCTACTTACAGAGGCATTTTATGGAAGGACAACCTTGGTTTATAGAAAACTGAAAGTGTTAAGAAGTCCACTCCTCTTTGATGAACTAAAAAGGGTGCCCACACCACAGAGGTGAAGCTGGACACCATCTCACAGAGATGATCCACCCACACAGGGTCCATGGCTCCCAATACCTGCAAAGAATAAAGTAGTTTTTACATGAGGTTATTATTAAAACAAAAATTTAAGGAAATTGTGTTGTTTAATGTCACAGCCCATATTCATTTCGGTTGTCTTTGATATCTTCTAGTCTGAATTTTCAAATGAAGAAACTAGGCCTAGAGATATAAACCATTTTAACATTTTTAAGATGTTAAACCATTCAAAGAGTCTGAATTTAAAAGTTGAAATTTACTAATTCTATTTATGTGATGGACTATAAATAAGGTCAGTTTGAACTGCAATGTCGAGGTTCAAACCCACCAACCATCCTTGGAAACCTTATACAGGGTTGCTATGGGTTGGAACCGACTCCACCGCACTTAACAACAACAACAATTACACCATATAATTCATTAGCTTTCAATATAGTTGTGTTTAAAAGAGGGCCTGACTTGCTTGCCCCATTCAAATACATGATCCTCAGGCTCTGGAGCTACACTGAACCTCTGGGAGGTTGTTCTGCCCTCCCTGTTTAAAAGTTGGAAGCTTCTACTCACAGGACCCTGTTCAGATGCTTACAGTTCTTGGCACCAACACCACCCAAAACAGTATTTTCAACAGCATCACATTATATTTCATTGATAGATATTCTAGAACTGCAGTATGGTGATGGGTCTCATCCAGCTAATTTGAGGGTTCATCCAGCTAAAGTGGAGTAAATGAAACAGCTTAAAATCCCAGGTGTGACTGTGTGTGTTAGGTCCAAGACTACATAAAAGTTTCCAAAACAAAATTTTGTGATCTAGATTTCATTTGGTCCTACCCCCTGGTAACTGCCTTTAAAATCGGTGCTCTACCTCACTATGGGTAGAGCATCAGTGAGCATCAAACTATATGAAGACCACAATAGAATGGCACCATCTAGCTTTGCATAACTAAGAAAGTCATTAGCATTGGGCAGAACAAGATAGTAAAGAACTCTGTCTTCAGTATATCTCTAATTAAGAGTGCAAACATCTGTGCATGTCATAGGTTTGTAAATTCATTATTTGGGATGAGGTTCAGCAAGCATTTATTTATTCTAAAAAAAAAATTTCCATATAGTTGTGAAAATAGCATTAACAAGAGAGAAATTGTTGAAAATCACTCATGGAAAATCACTCTAGAGCCTGACTGCTGAGCTTTGAAACCCACCTCCACCACTTACTGTGTGGGGCTTTAGTTTTCTCACATGTAAAATTAATTTGATTATATTACAGTCTTTATAGAGGTGATGTAAGGGACATGGAAATACTTTAAACTGTCTGACATGTAGACTCAAAACCAACCCAAATCCAAACCTTCCAAGTCGATTTTAACTCTTAGTGGCCCTCTAGGACCAAATAGAACTGCCCCATAGGGTGCTCATTTTGCAAATCTTTTTGGAAGCAGACTGCCACACCTTTCTCCCAAAGAGCAGCTTGTAGGTTCAAAGTGCCTATCTTTCAGTTAGCAGCTGAGCACTTAGCCACTATGTTACTGGGGCTCTTTTGCAGATTTTGTTGTTGGCACATTGTTGTTGTTATTATGTGCCATGGAGTCGGTTCCGACTCAAAGAGACCCTATACAGCGTCTCCAAGCCTCATCTTTCTCCCGCAGAACAGCTGGTAGTTTCAAACTCCTGACTGTGAGATTAGAAGCCCGATTCGTAACCAATACGCTACCAGAGCTTCTTAGAGAGCACTTAATATGGACTATGATTATTATACTTATAACTATTGTTTTGAAGCATTTATAGGATCCTGGTACTTTAGGCTAAGCACTCGACCTCAAGGTCGGTTTGAACCACAAGGTCGGCAGTTTAAACTCACCAGCTGCTCCTCAGAAACCCTATACAGAGTCGCTATGAGTCAGAACCAACTGAATAGCACTTAACAATAACAACAGCAACAGTGGGTCACTAGGTGTGGCACACTAGGCTGCTAACAACAAGGTGAACAGCTCAAACCCACCAGCCATCCTGGCAAACCATATACAGTGTCATGATGTGCTATGAGTTAAAATCAACTCGATGGCACTTAACAACAACATGCAGAATTTGTGTGTGAGAGAACTATGTGGCCCTCTAATTTGATAAAAGGAGCCTTTGTGGAATTGTGGTTTACACATTTGACTGCTGACCACAGATTCAGCAGTTCAAATCCACCAACTACTCTGGTGGAGAAAGAAACGGTTTCTGTTCCCATAAAAATTTAAAACCTTGGAAGCCCCACATAAAAAACCTAAATAGGGTCATTATGAATCAGAATCAACTCCATGGCAATGAGTTTGGTTTTTTGTTTGGGGGTTTTGTGTGTTTTTTGTAATTTGATTAAGTTCAGAAGGCAACAAGGTGGCTCTCCAAATCTCTGATTACCTATATTCATCTTCCTGGGTATTTGCACATTATACAAATGTACATTGTGAAAAAATTCAACTTTGTTAAA